ATAAATTAGTTTTTGGGGGGTTTCATTTTTAAGCAATCGTGCATAACTTAACTTTATATACTTCAAACAGGCATTAAGAGATTTAAGTGGAGCAATAAAAGCAATTTATGAATAATACATAGACTTGACCTTAACGTACCGTTTACCGCACAAAATTTCTTTGCACCAGTTAAAAAATGAAGAAAAAGCATGTGTCTTGCTTTATGTGGTGTATCATAGTTAAATGTTATTATAGTTAAACGTTATTGTGTAACACAATTTTAAATTTTGAAAAATGGCTCTTGCCCACTGCTTTATATTTGTCCAGTGAATCGGAGCAGTTAGATTCTCCACAAATCCCGCCGCTCTTTTAGGAAAATCTGTGACTTGCCAGTGAATCAGCTACATAATGCGATATACAGACACTTTGCTTGACTTATCGTTAACATATACATGTTGCTGTTTTATTACCGGTCAGTCTTTAATTTCAGAGTCTTATTGGACAGCATATTGAGCCTTTTATTATTAGTATAATTTTTGGCATGGTTTAAATGAGCTCATATTATTCAATCTGGCATTCTGACGTCCAAATGCCATATCACTGCTGGACTAACCGATATCTTTCTATATTTCAGACTTGGGTGTTCCAAACGCCGGTGTTCCCTTCACCACTCAGTTATATGTGAGCGTTTTTTTTTTCCTTTTTTCCCCCATTTTTTATTTTTTTGGTTATATCATGTTGCTCATACAGTATGCTCTTTTGGTTTGCTTGCTTGTAAGTTCTTTTATAATCTATTTAATTCTTTCTTTTTTAATAGAAAATCTACACAGACTCTATTTTATGACTTACCAACTATATATTTTAACACTATATTAAAAGATTTGAATCTTGTAATTTTTATAATTCACTTACGCAATTGTTTTGCCTTTTGTTGACATTCATTTGTATGCGAGAAAAAAAACGTCCATGTGAAAATAGCATTGATCCAAGTTGTACGGTGACCTACATGTATTAATGTCAAATTGTTGAATATTTTTTAGAGACGATGCAGGGCATTATGCGGGGCTTAATAAAGAATTGCTCACTGAAGGTGGGACGAGATTTTTTCTGTCTTTGGCTTAACTTCAACAAATATTTTTGATTTATAGCATATTTTTCAAACAAAACTTTGCTAAATCTTCCTGGAATTCCCTTCCCTCTATCGTCTCTCTTTCTCTCTCTTTGTTCTTTTTGTTTAAATAGATCTGTATACGGTATAAATCGAATGCTTCCAGTTTGCAAGTTAGCTGGAAAACGCTGTGAGACCACTACTATGCCCTTAAGGTCCTGCATGGAGTCTGGCCCCAGAGGAGAATTGAACGCAGGAGAAGGTAAATAGAGAAATCTCTCTCTCTCTCTCTCTTAACAAATAGTCATGTTAAAATCCCCTAATGAAAATTGACAAAAATACGTTAAATATTAAATAATTTTCATTAGCCCCCCTCCCCCGCCCCGAAAGCGAAGCGGTATTGGTGATTATACCGGCTGCAGAGCCCCAACAGGAGACTTCGGCAGAGTCACTCGCCACCAGTTTGGGGATTTTACCGTGGCAAAGCTCTTGCACAGTTTAATAATAATAGAACAGTTCGATAAGAGAAAAAGCAGAAAATCATTCGAAGAGGTTTTTGTATCAATTCTAAGTTAATGGTAATTTTTGGTATAATAAGACTGTGGTGAGATTAGCTTGCATATTTCATTTCCATATTCTATCCAAAGAATTATATTGATTCTTTTCTTTATGTTGTAATTGCTTGTTATAATCTCCAGGCCTTATGGGAGAATGGTTTGATGGTTGCCTAGGATGGGGAATCAATAAGGAAAGGCTGCGGCAGGTTGCCTTTTCGAAGCCATTCGAACCTCTCCACTCAAACATGTTGGTACTTCCCAACAGCACTCTGCTTCAGACTCCTGATGTCAGTGGTAAAATTGTAGGTGGGTGTTTTGATAAACGAAAAATGAAGCTGGGTAATCAAACTTTATTTTCACAGCTTTCAATTATTCTAGTGTGATATCTTGAGATATTTTCTCTGGTACAATGCTGCACATCTCACCTGTCACATTTCGTAACAACATAATAATATATATCACTGGTAAGCATGAAGCCATTTTTTCTTTAAATAATAATCTGCCAAAACTTAAAGAAGAATTTGGTGTTCAGAATATAAAACTTTTCAAAATCTTTATGTACGTAATGGTTAATGGCAACTTGTTGTAAACTTAAAAATTTTAGAGTACCCATATATTAACACATTTTCATTCTTTTCAGTAGACGTCCTTAGGTACATATGCATTCAAATATTTTATGTATTTTTTTCCAGCTTTTATGGATGGTCTAATGGCCACACCCGAATGTCTTCGGGCCCATGGAGTGACCGGTTTCCAAGTACTCTACGTATCAGGACATGAAGAGGGAGTTAAATACCTTCAAACTGGAAAGGTATGGCACAAGCAAATAAAGCTCAGTGTCCATCGTTCTTATTAAATCTGAAAAACGTATCTAAATGAAAAGGTCATTTTATAAATTTTGTAATACTAGAATTTCATGATCAGAACCTTCTCTCTGTAATGACATTTCCTGCAAGTAAGTTTAGTTGAAATGTTGTAAATATTTCACATTCAAGCCATGCGATGATTTCCTACAACTATGCTTTTTTTTCAAAAGCCTTATCGACAAGGAAATGTATTCACTACTTTATATCTATCTATCTATCTGATTGTTTATTTATTTGTCATTTAGGCAGACGCGATTTTTATTCCCAACAGCCCTTTCAGCATTGAAACTCCAGATCTAGTCGTCATCAATCCACTCGGACCTGCCGCCAGTCACAACATGCAGTGTGTTTCCGGTGCCGCTTTGATGACAAAAAAAGGGAGCGCAGCTCTTGATTGGTGGAATAAAGCATTTGAGCAATACAAGGCTTCCGGCGCGTATGCAGAACTGTGTCGAAAATATCTAAGAATTGGACGGGAAATGTTCCACAGCAGAATAGGTATATCTTCTAGATTGTCTGATAAACGTGAACACAAAAACGACTGTAAATAAGAGACAGTATCGGTTTTCAAAATAAATAAATAAATAAATAAGATAAAAAAAGACATACACAATGTGTTCGCCGTTATGTCTTCTTCTGACAGAGATTATTTTTGCATTTGGTTTGTGTATCTGTAAAAAATTGTAACTAAAAGTTTATATGGGCTACTCTGAAGAAAACGTTTACTTTGAAATACCTCCTACCTTTGAAATTCCGTCAAACAACGAAAGTGAACAACTGCCATCTCATTTTAGGTCGCTACCCAGTTGGAGCCTCCGTCGCTGATATTTGTCTTCTAGACTAACTGGCAGATGTGTGCCTAAATAGTTCAGCATCGCGGTTGACAGACTAAGAAAACAACGGCTGAGACCAGATACTACCTTCTACTAGGGTCACAGCTAAAATTTATGTCTAAATCAAGTCTCGCGCCACAGAATAGATGGCAACCAGAAACCCTCCTGCATACTATAATATGCTGCGTACTCTAATATGCTGGCGCATTCATAGTGTTTTTAAAACCTCATTTAATCAAATAACCTATATATTTGTGTGAAACTTTAAACTGTAGAAAATTGCATTAGCTAGATTTAGATGTTTAACCATGTACTGAAAATAGAACAGGGTGGAAGGGAAACTCTGAAATATGTGAATTGGATATGTATTTTCTGCTTCAAATTGGACATCTTAATGATATATATTATGTGTTGATTCAATCAGCTAGTGTTACACTTGCAGATAAAATGCTACCTCAAAAACATATCAAATATTTAAGTATAAAAATGTCAAAGTTTTTACGAGCACAGAATGAAAAAGAGGTTGATAGTCTGGTATCCAGGATTCATGGCTGATAGACCATTGTAAACTTCAACCAGGGAGACAGAAATGATTATTTGTGCCCGCTCCTATTTGATGTAGATCAGAGAGTCGAGATACACTGTACTGGTATCAAGTATATGTATCAATCGAATTCTGGAACTAATGTTTAACGACTAACCACCGTTCTGGTGTCAGCCTGAGACCTTTCACTTGGAAATTATCTAGATGGACTGGTCACCTCAATGTGTGCCATACAGTACACGGGTCAGACTACAACTCCGGGTAGCCATAAATTTTAAGTTCCATATTTCGATTGAACCATATTGCTGGTTCTAAGGGCTCTTTCCCATAGGCACCATCGGTCAACATAGATCAATATATCGGTCCAATTAACAGATTAACATGCCCCCTCTTGGCATTGAGTAGAATATACAGAAAAGCTGGCGATTATATGAGTGCGTTGGAAAACAGTAGGAGGCGTGTTAATCTGTTCAATTAATTGCACTCAGCAGGAATCCCCACAGAGTTTGATCGATCTACGCAGACCAATATGGGAATGAGCCCTAATTCCACTGGATGATTAAAAACCAACTCGCGAACATTACTGGCATATTGTTGTCACACATTTGTAATCGAATGTAGTACTTATTAGTGAAGTTTAATGAGTGGCAAATTTGTATGAAGAAGGTGACTATATTTTCCGGAAGGGTGGGCGGGTTTTCAGCCTCACGTAAACATAATAAATATTTAAAATGTTTACGCAGTGCGTGCCGGCAGAAAGCGTTTGAAGTGCTGCTTAATTTTAAATAAGTAATAATCAACATCTGTCTTAAGGTCACCTTGAAGTTTTCTCATTGAGGATATATTATTATTACGTCCCTTAGTAGGCCTTTGCTGAGTAAGGGTGTGTTACCAGGCAAAAAGGCAAATAAAATGAGATAGAAAATCAAGTGTTTTGGGGACGTTAACAAGTACTCGTCAACATACATGTAACAATATGAGCGGAAAAACTGACTTTTGCGGTCAGCATATATTAAAAGATATCCTTGATGTTAAACAATTCCTTTTCTGTGCAACGTAAATGCAGTAAATAATACAAATCAATCATTCTACTGATAGTTTATACACCATGCTCTTCATAACTCCAATTATCGTTTAAGTCGACCAAATCTTGCGGAACGGATTTCTTCATTCTGATCGCTGTTATCACAACATAATTTAACGTCTGTGAATCTCCGTGTCGTGCTAACCCTGGAGTTTTAAAAAGCCATATCATGTTACACTTACAGGCTGGAATTGAGTTGGTCTCAGACCAGGGTTTAACGATAACGTGCTGAATCATCTACCCTAAGAACATGGATGAAACCAATTTGATCATTTGCATAATCAGGAGGTTAGGCATTAGATGCGCATTATGCATTTCAGACAGACGTTCATGACATTCAAGATGAATGCTGCAAAGGTAAGTCCTTGCTGAATTCTGTTTGATTTTTTTTATATGTACATTCGTCTCATTTAAGTTTGAGGAGTACGCCTTTCCCTCAGTTTACTTGTATAAAATTAGCAAACACTCGATGATGAATAAATATTGCATTTCTGCTGTCTTTCAATGTAGAATCAACAGCGTTACATTTCTCTTTGCTCTTTCTTTCTTTTTTTTCAAATTTTGGCTCAATATTGCGATCAATGTAGAACGTGTGCTAAATCACTGATGGATAGTACATAAAGTTTTATTATGTCATAATCTTCCCATTTATATTATATTATATTATATTATATTATATTATATTATATTATATTATATTATATTATAATTTAACGTTCATAATATGCAAAACATGTTTCACGACATATACTCTAATTTATCTCTACTGGGACAGATTTCCACGTTGGTTTTCCTGTTTGCTGTGGTCGGACAAGGTGAAAGTGGTAGAAGAGCGCCGCCTGGCCCCCCGCCATGCCCTCTTCAGCCACCCAAGGTAACCTGTTTTTATCAACTGAATGACTGTTTAGCAATCAAACGTAATTGAAGCCCCCTTTACACTGGACGGCGTCCTTTCTGCGTCCAACAGTACGGCCCCATTTGAGAGTTAAAAAATTATAATACTTTATGTGCCAACAACTGGCCGATCATTGAGCATTCATTCTGACACAAAATCAATGCTCGTGCCTCCTTATTAAGACCACAGCGATGCCAAATTTCATGGTCGCAGAAAGGACGCCGTCCAGTGTAAAGGGGGTATAAGGGACCATTTTATTTCTATCAAGAAAATTTTAATACCACTGGCTGGTCAAGATATTTTGAGGGAGTGTTTCAACAAATTGGAATAAACTAATTAGAATATTTTTAATAAATAAATAAATAAATAAATAAATAACCGATTCATTCGTATGTAGTCGAAAAGGGAGGGAACACACATGCACTCCTTTATTATATGAGTGTTTGGAGGGGGGGGGGGGACCTCTTTTACATCTTGAAAATTAGCAAGAAATCTGCCAACGGTAGTGGGGTGTTTGGAATTTGTGAAATTTCAACAAATAAGTTTGATATGTATTTCAGTTTAGTGTGAGTGTATGCACAGACTAAACATGTTCGCAAAAATCCCCATTCAAGTCTGCCCTTCACTTCTAAGACTTTGAAGAAAGAATTATTTCTACAACATTTCTGGGTACTATTTAAAGGGATAATAACTCTTCGTTTCGGCCAAAAAATGAATTTTCCTGGAGTAAACAACAATTTTCCATACTTACCAATGGATAATGAATCCATATTAACTTTCAAAGTAAGTCCGACTCCCTGTTTTTTTTCAAAAAATTTGGTTTTCTTAGAGATCTCTTAAGAGATTTTAACAGAGTATAGCCATCAATGGAGGTCAAGCGGTCTAAAGACAAGCTCAGATATCAGAATAATAGCTACGACTGCCGTTTCTGTGGTAAAACAGAATGTTATATTTCTATTGGTTATTCACAATGTTTTTATTGTGAAAAATAGATCTCATACGAAGAGTTATTATCCCTTTAAATAATTTCTCCTTCAAATCCCGCGAAATCTGGCCTGATTTTACGTTAAGTTGCAAAACTTAAACCGTCAGAGTTACGGTGAAAAATTATATTATATTATATTATATTATATTATATTATATTATATTATATTATATTATATTATATTATAGGTATGGGTGTTTGAGATGCCAATCTATCCCCCTCCGCTGTCATACCTGTAAGTCTTTTTACATTCTCGGGTTATAGGGGTCGTTTATGAGATTCTGTTGCGTTCATTTCTTTTCTTTCCATAACCTACATAATTGTTTGCGGCAGTTCCTTGTTGAATAATTCATATTCCTGCTGCGTTTTTGCATTTTACTTTAAGTAAAAACAAAGACGTATTAACGCAGTTTTTACTATGTAGGTTGTAATATTGATCATGTTTTTGTTGTACATTAATTGGAGTTTGATACATGTGATAATATACTGTGTAGTCTACTAGTGCTGGTGTGTTGCTGAAAACTTCTCTATGATTTGTTGAAGTAACATATTTGTTGAAGTAACACGTTTTGTCATTTTAGTTTATCTCGCTTTGTACATGTTTGAGTGCATATCACTTCGAATAGAAAATTAACGTCCACGTGTATGTGTGCTCACGGGTGATGTGCGCCTGCATACTTATCAATTAGGGTTTTCACTTCGATGATGAAGTGCATTTTTACGGTGTAGGAAGCATTGTAACTGTTCTTCACACAATGTTCGAAAAGGTGTGTGTTATAATATGACACCCTTTTTTCAGAAATTCCTCTGGAGGTTTTACAGGGCTTTACAGTGAACTTTTGCAGGCAGGTAAGTGAAGCACATTGCCTTCCTTCGAACAAAATGTGACTAATGCTTAAAGATGCTTTTTGCCACAAAAGCCAACCAAATGCACATAGTTTCAAGTAGTATAACTATAAGTGGATTACCAAAAGGCATTGTTTAATTTTACCCGAAAAATTATATTTGAACGGATTTTTTCTGCTAGCATTCTGTGCTGTATATCAATGCGACAGAAAAGTAGGTGACGAAAGTAGGTTAAATTTCTGACGAAAAATTTAAAGAAAGGAGCAGTCCAAAATTCTTTTTTTGCTGATCGAGTGATTTATTCAATTTATCCCTTGGTATGTCAAATTTATTTGAGTCGTATAAAAAACTAGTAGAAGTGGTTTACATGTGTTACTGGGAATCCACGCTCCACCGATGCTCGGTTCATATGTACCCCTGGTACCTTTAATAAAGAAACAGCGTGTTCAGAAATCCACAGATGCACTTGGTTAATTATTACGCCATGCATAATGTTTTTGGGCTAAGTTTGGGTTTATAAGATGAAACAGCCGACTATGCCGTATTAGTCTGAAAGCTTTATAGAAAGGTTGATCCACATAAATATTATCCCATGTAGTGTACCTAAATGGGCTATTGTTGCCAGGCAATCACAATCTGCTCAAAATCTACTTGAAATGATCACCGAATGAGAATTAAGAAGAATATGATAGATGACATTTCTAGCATGTCCAACATCACCTCTTTTCGTTTTGAATATTAATTAAATGATTAATTTATTTACTTTTAAGCAGCTAAATACCATAAAAGCCAGCATTGAGGAGTGAGAAACTAGGAGAAACTGACTCACTGCAAAACATATTCTGTTTCCTCTTGAAATACTATCTCTCTCTCTTTCTCTCTCTCTTAATCGTTTGCATATGGGGTATCCATTTTCCTTTCAGTTTGCGAGATAGCTGAAAAAGAATGTGATTACACAACAATACCGGTGCAGCAATGTATGGAAGCTGGCCCTAGCGGAGAAAATATAGCCGGGGAAGGTAAGAACCTTTCACTGAATTCCACATTACCTGATAGTGGTGCTTGTGATCTGTGGCTATTTAACATTGAACATAATGTAACGTGTCGAAGTACCTAGAAATAATTTAAATAAATAAATAAATAAAATCTTGGTAAAGTACAACTATTCAACTGTCAATTTCGAAAAAACCTGAAATACCTATTTTTTAGGAAATTAAAACAAGTTCGGGGCAATTTTTATCATATTGTTCTTCATTGCAGATACACTGTATCGACATATTTTGTTTCTCATAATGTACATGTACCTATCCGATGGTACAACTTCCATTTTGTGCTTTAAATAATAATTTACACAAAAATTTGTTTGACAAAGATTTATCCAAACATAGGTCTGATGGCAGAATGGTTTGACGGCTGTTTTGGCTACGGGATCACCACAGAACGCCAGCAACAAGTGGAGTTCTCCAATCCGTTTTCAACATTAAAATCCAACATGATGGTCCTGCCAAGCAGTCCTTTGGTTGAAACACAGAACGTGACTGGGAAGATAGTCGGTGGGTGGATTTTCAGGTTAACGTGTACAACAGCTTCTACACAGGGGCGATTTTCTCCAAAAAAGCGCATTGGTTTTGACACATAAACCAAAGCATTTATTCAGTATTAATTAAACGAGTATAAATTATTTGTAACGGTTCAAAAACATAGTGTCACTATAAGATAAGAGATAAAAGGGTAACTTTTCCTTGTTTTAAAATTGGTGCGTCTCAAGTCATAGGATTTATAAATGTAATGCATTTTCTTGGGTGAAAGTAGACTAAACGTCGGTCTTAAAGTTGTCACTTGCTCTACATGTAGATCACACCGCATGTTAGCAAGAGGGATTAAAATAATTTACAAATCATAATTGCAATAATTTTTTTGGTTTCTTTATGATGTGAAAAAAATTCAAAATCAAAAATCAAAAATCAAAGACAAAAAGCTACTGTGATACGGAATACACATGTACTTGTATATATGGGCCATTCCGTGGTATTTGGTCCGCAGACCTCAAAATTTAAAAAAAGAATCCTACTTATAAAACTTATATTTTCTGAAACCAGACACCATAAGACACCGGAATCCAAGAGAAATTTTAGATTTTGATGATTAATTATGATTTTATTGACACTTTAATCTGGAAAATAATAGTGATCGTTTTAAACAATAAAGGCTAAATACATTAAATATAACTTATTTCTTACATTAAGTTAAGTGCATTAGATCAAAAAATATTTGATTATAAAATTATGGATTAATTAATATCCTTCCGTAACGATTTTGGTACCTATTTTTTTAGAGTTTCCTCAGTAACTACAAAAGCTAAACACTTATAACTTCATATTTCCTCAACCATGATTTGGGCCAACAAAATACGAAAACATTTTTGCTTAGAACCACTTCAATAAGAAATTAAATCCAAATTTATACACATTAAACATGACACCTAGCACATATGAGGCATTTTGATTGGACAATAACAGGTCATTGAAGATGAAATATATTACCATGGATAGACATGTTAACCTTTGATATTATTCATCAAACCTATGCTGGTATGTATTCGTACGATATTATTATTAGCCTTATTTTACATTTTATTTGCAATGGACAAAACGTCCTTCCGAGACGCGTCCTTCTGTAACGCCTACTTGATTTTTTTGTATGCAAAAAAAAAAAAAAAAAAAAAAATCAATTTTTTTCCAAAAAAAAAAAAATGATATATATATATATATATATATATATATATATATATATATATATATATATATATATATATATATATATATAATATTTTTTTGAGAAAGTAAAATAATCAAATATTCATATTTTGATTTGACTTTGACAATATCTCCACCGACAGAGCATAATTCTGATGTTAAAGTTGAAAGTTAAAATCCCATGTCCATTTCACGTCCTTCCGAGACGCTAACTATTCATTATATTTTTTTTCGTAACTATACTTTTTAACCTAATTTTTTGCCTAATTATAACTTATATATAGAAGAATAAACATACAAAAAATGGACCTTCTAACTTTTTTACTTTTTAAAATATTTTCATTAGAAGTGTCAAACGTCCTTCCGTAACGGCAAAAAAAAAAAAAAAAAGATAATAATAATCATAATAAAATAAAAAATACCACGGAATGGCCCATATGTATATCCTAGAGATGAACTTTTTTGATGACATATACTCATAATTTATACTATAAAGCCTTGTTTTTCACGCCACTTCAATCTAACTAGATACATTATAGGATAATAATGATAAGAAGAATAATAAGAAGTACTGTATGACATATAAAACCTATGAAAAAAGGAGACAAAATCCAGCGGTAACTTTTTTCAGTCTTGCGTCCGCAATATCACAGTCACAGTGTTCTCTTTTATTTCTTTATCTATTTATTCTTGCGCCTCTCCTTAATACATGTATACCCCAAAACCGCCAATATATATCTTTATTATTCATATATTTTAGTGTTTGCTGGGGGCACATTGTCTTCGCCCCAGTGCCTCATAAACCATGGCGTGACGGGTTTTGAGGCAATCTTCGTAAATGGACACGCTGCAGGGTTGGAGGCCCTTGAAAGCGGTGAAGTACGTCGAACATGCGATACTTCTCTGTTAATAACCCTTAATACTAGGCCTAATACTTGTCATTTTATAAGTTTGTGAACTTTACCAGACGCGTGCGTCTCGTCTGTGTGCGTGTGGTGGTGGAGGGGTGCGAGCATGACAATGAAGAACCTTGTCCGTGACGCAAGTGGGAGACAAAACCTAGCGGTTTTATCAGTCCCTTGTGCTCAATATCACAGTCAGTGTTCTGGGTTAATTAATTAATGAAGAAGCCGGATCGTGACGCCATTGAAACTCGGTTTGGCCCTAGTAGATTGTCCATCAGTGCTTCACTAATGCAATTGGGGCAGAAGTTTCTCCATCACATTAATAAATCTTTCAAAAAAAGAAATTTATTTTTGGAAAAAAATAGTCTTGGCGAAATGTTTTATCCACAAATCCGGTATCAGTATCTCGGCATTTATCGGGGAGTGCATATATACAGATTAAATGACATTGTTTTTTTTTTCGATGCCTTAGACATTTCACTGAAACCTTATAATGAATATGTGCATGGTCACTGATTCTAACAGTGTCATTGCTTTTCTAGGCGGACGCTTTATTCAACAGTAACAATGCACTGAACACAGAAAGTGCAGAACTCGTCATCATCAACCCAGCCGGAGCAGGCACCGATCCCGACATGCAGTGCATTTCCGGTACCGCCCTTATGACCAAAAAAGGCAGCGAGGCCATTGATTGGTGGAATGAGGCGTTGGAGACGTACAAGGCTTCTGGGGAGTTCTTAAGTTTGTGTGAGAAGTACCTGGAAATTGGGCGGCAGTTGTACTTCGACAAGATAGGTAGAGGTGGTCTTTTTTGCAATTTTAATTGATCTTAAAATATTAAAATCCATCATTATTATGGTAATTATTTTTTTAGGCATGAAGCGCCTGTCACCAGTCTAACTTTGGAAATTGTTGTGTGATCAAATAACCAGTATCAAAGCAGAACAGGGTTAATTCAAGGCGCATATACACCTAAAGGAAGGGAAGTTTATATGACACTTACGGACCTCTTGTATACTTTCAGGGAGTTATCCCGAGGGAGCCAATGTTCACGATATTTGTTTTCTAGACTAATTGACCATGTAAATGATGATATGGCAGTGAGAGGCACTTAAAACTCTTTGAGCAATAGAGAAATTAATACTCAGAGAGATCAGACCAAATATTTTAAGTTGACTGTAATGTTGAAAACATGCATGTCACTAATTCTAGATGGTATTTATAGAATGGGGTATAAAAATGAACCAAATAAAACAGGTTTTGTCGACCCATTAACCGCTTCATTTTATTTCTCACTATCTTCTATTTGGTTGCTTTGACCAATCAACTCGTACATGTGATGGACAGACCCAGAAAACAATGACCGAGGCCAGATACTACCTTCTACCAAGGTCACTGCTCAATTTTTCACTAATTTTTCACAGATACGTCTCTGTACCTGTCTAATTCAATTCTCGCACCACAGAATAGAGGTCAAACAGAAACCATAATATGCTGTCGCATTCATAGTGTTTTTAAAACCTAATTTAATCAAATAACCTTTATATTTGCGTGAGCTGATGACTGTAGATAATAGTAGTGGTTAGATTTAGATGTTCTAACCATGTACTGCAAATAGAATCGATAGGGTGGGAGAGAAACTCTAAAATATGTGAATTGGATGTTTTTTCTGTGTCAAATTGGGATATATGAATTTCATGTGTTAATGCAATCAGTCAGCAATGCACCTACAGACATTATGCTACCTCTAAAATATATCAAATGAATAAAAAAATGTTAAAGTATTTACGAGCACAGACAATGAACGAGAGGTTGACAGTGTGGCATCCAGGATTCATGGCTGGTACCCATGAACTTATACCCATGGTACCCATGAACTTATACCCATGGTACCCATGAACTTATACCCATGGTACCCATGTACTTATACCCATGGTACCCATGAACTTATACCCATGGTACCCATGTACTTATACCCATGGTACCCATGAACTTATACCCATGGTACCCATGAACTTATACCCATGGTACCCATGAACTTATACCCATGGTACCCATGTACTTATAATCAGGGAGACGGAAATGATTTTTTGTGCCCACTCCTATTTTATCAAGATCAGAGAGTCGAGATACACCGTACTGGTATCAGGTTTATGTAGCAATCGCATTCTGGAACGGGGACTCTCGCTGAATACAATCAGTTTAAACGGACAGATGTCGAGATAAACAGATTAACTAACAGATTATATGCCTCATGCAGGCCATGGGTAGAGTACGGAAAAGCAGGTAATTATACTAGTATTTTGGAAATACGAAGAAAAGCTGACTGCATTCAGTGAGAATTCCCGCAGGAATGAATAGATCTAAGTAGATCAACATAATATCTATGGGAAAATGAGTAAAAACATCAACTCACGAATTCTACTTACATTTGACGTTACACATTTGTAATCGAGTGATAACATTCTTAAAAAAAAAAAAAAAAAAAAAAAACGGTAACACATATAAGTGAAGATCAATGAGTGACACATTTGTATGAAAAAGATGACTAACTGTTTTTCAGAAGGATGGACGGGTTTCCAGTCTTACCGAGAATTAATAAATATTTTAAATGTTGAAGCAACATGCCAGCAGAAAGCCTTTGAAGTGCTCTTTAATTTTAGATAAGCAATAATCAGCATTTGGCTTTTTATTTCACGAGTTGTGTCAGCTTGAAATGAAGATGAAATGAGGTCTTCAAGGGTCACCTTGAAGTATCCACGTTGAGGAAAGTTGATCACCACGTCCCTTAGTTTAACGTTATAACATGGTGGCAATGTGGTCGTCAAGGCACGAAGAACATACCGATGGTTTTGAGAATAGGGCTTTCATTGGGAGACATTATTTATTTTCCGTATAGTTTAATATGTATAAATAACGTGGGTGCTATCTCGTCGTTGCTTTCCATCTGAAATATTCGATTTATATTCGGTTTGTTCTGTTAATGTAAATTCCGCTTTCATTCAATAGTGGTGAAATCACAAACAACTAGCACATGTAGTCCATGCCAAGAATGCAACTTTTTATATGCTTCTGTTAAAAGTAAATCATTCATATTTGGAATACACCCCGTATATATGGGTGCAGGTGCAGTCAAGTAGGTATTTTCTGAGTGAGGATGTGTTAACAGGCAGAAGGGCGAATGGTCTGAGGATAGAAAATCAAATGTTTTGGAGACGTTAACAAGTACTCGTCAACATACATGAAACAGTGTGAACGGAACAACTGTGTTTTTACTGTCAGCATATATTACAAGATATCCTTGTTGAAAAACAATTTCATATTTTATCACGTGCAGCGTAAATCCGATAAATTGTTCAAGTGAACTATTGTACTGGTAGTTTATATACTGCGCTTTCCAGAACTCCAGTTATCGTTTAATTCCAGCAAATCTTGCGGAATTGATTTCTTCATTCTGATCGGTGCTATCACAACATAATTTAGCGTCTCAAAATCTCCATGTTATGCGAACCGTGGAGTTCAATGTATTTACTTTTAAAAAGTCATGTCAATGTCACACAGGCAGATTGGAATTGAATTGGACTGGGTGTGATGATTCATCTAACTAAAGAACAGGGATGATGTCAATGACGTAGGTAATTTGCATAATCAGGAGGATAGGTATTAAGACGCACATCATGCATTTCAGGCAGACGTTTATGACATTCAAGATGAATACTGCAAAGGTAAGTCCGTGCTGAATTCTGCTTGATTTTTTGAGTATGAACCTTCGTCTCATTTGAGTTTGAAGAGTACGCCGTTCTCTGAAATCGACTGTGTTCATCATCTGGTTGATTTGCTTCTTTTACCCATAAAAATTTCTCGGATTTCTTTATTTTTATTTTACATCAACTCTCTCCCTCTATCGCTTTCACTTCCCGAAGCTACGCATTCCCTTCTGGCAGTTCAGAGTTCATCCTTTTGAACAGAATAATATGATGAGAGGTTTCATATATCCCAGTGCTGATTTAAGCTTCCTACTGACAATTACTCGATCAATGTGTGCTTGCGTGCGTGCGCCCGCACGCAACATGCCACACGCTGGCTATCATCCACCCCGCCCTAAAGGACTGAAACTGTCTTCCAGATGCCAACAGGGCGACGACTCCAAAATTCTCACAGTACTAGTAGAGTGATTTGCACAAGATAAGCCAGTTAAATATCTATGAATATGCGGCGCAAAACTCTCTATGACCCAGGTAGAGGGTTAAGGACTGAATGCAAATGTGTGTCATGTCGCCAAATAACAGTAATATTAAACCTAAAATGGGAAAGTAATTGTGAATTATCTGTCACCGTTGTACCTTGATTTCGCCTTGTTTTTCAATTTCAAATTCTATATAAAGATTTGCGAAATGCATTTTAAAATTGATGTAATACTTTAATGCTTTCATGCTTTTAATCTTTATTTTACAAATGAAAAGCTCCGGGAATTTGGGTAAATTTCTTCTTTATTAGCAAATTAATTTTGACTGTCATGAGTGAAATTCACCAGTTTCTATCTCCATTAAGAGATTGGGCCAAAAACTAGAAACTTAGACATACAAACAGGTTTATGGATCCTAATTTTGTGAAAATGTTTGGATGTGGTACGTCCTGCTGATAAAGGAGAAAAGGATTGGAAACTTCAGGAAAATGACACTTTTGCCTTATGAGGTCCTTACGCCCAATTTGTGCCTTTTAAGGCACTCTCGACAAGATTTACCCGCCAAAATGAATTTTCCTTGAGAAAAGGGAGTTTTTCTCTTTTTTTCTCCTCACAAATCACTGTTGGACAAGTCCCTGTCTTATACCATTTTTTTTAAATTCAAAATGATTTTTCTAAATAACTGTATCGCGGCCTTGTGGTGTGTATATACAGACGTTGAGAGCTGTCAATGGCTATCTGACAAAGCTGAGAAAATAATAGCGACACTAATTACGCTTCAGATAAACTTTTATTTAAATGATTTTATTGTCTTCAATGTCTGAATTTGGAAATATAAGAAGCTTTTCAGGCTAAAATATAACTTGGGGGATTTACAAACACATGCATTAAGGAGCGTATCTTTGATATGCACATTGATAGTATGTGGTTATTGTGGTAATATTACCCATACAGTTCAGTCGAATGTGGCCACATGTTTCTTTCCATATCATATATAAACAGCATTGTCCCTCGGCAAAGTCACTAGGCAACAATCTGTCACATTTTGAGAGTTTCATGTAATATATGTGTGTCTTATGAGTAGTTGCGCCAATGAAGGACTTGCCATTTTGTGCAAAAGACGAGAGTACACTTGTATAAAATCAGCTAGCACACAATGATAAATTATTATTGAATTGCCGCCTTCCTATATAAAATCAACGTCCATTACATTTTTTCCTTCTTTCTTGTTTCAAAATTTGACTCAATATTGCAATTAATGTAGTAAGAACGCTGAATCACTGATAGATAGTAATTTTCTGGCATTGTTGTCCCAAATTGCATGTATATTATATTATATTATATTATATTTATAATCTAACGTTCATAATATGCAAAACATGTTTCACAACACATACTCTAATTTATCTCTACTGGGGCAGATTTCCACGTTGGTTTTCCTGTTTGCTGTGGTCGGACAAAGCGAAAGTGTTAGAAGAGCGCCGCCTGGCCCCCCGCCATGCCCTCTCCAGCCACCCAAGGTAACCTGTTCTTATCAACTGAAAGGTCGTGTAGTCATCGAACGTGATTAAAGCATCATTATATTCCGATTTATAAATTATGTTTTAAAATACCGCTGGCGGGTCAAGATATTTTGAGGGAGCACTTTAACAAAAAAAGATAAATTAATTTAAATATTTTGAATAAATAAGTAAATATAAATAAATAATTTATTTGTATCTAACCGAATAGGTAAGAACGTTACACATGGATACAAACGGACATGTACTTGATTATCGTATGAGTATGGTATTTTTTAAGGAGTGGGAGAGGGTGGATTTGCCACTTCTACCATTTCACGTAAATTAGCTACAAATCCGCCAATGGAAGTGTAGTGTTTGAAAGTAGTGAAATTTTACCAGAATTTATCATGTACTTTAGTATATCTACAGACAGTGCACGTAAAGTCATCACTTAACGTCTTTTAAGACTTTAAATAAAGCAGTATTTCTACAAATGTATGTACCTGCATGTATATTCGGTCTCACTGCAATCACAGCAACAATATTATAATTTAGTATTGCACA